GGAAAAAAGTTTTAAGAACAATTACATATTTGTTCTCTTTTCATGTTATCTATAGAGTCTGATACTGGAAAAAAACGATCTAGAATTAAGTAAACAAAATTCTTAAATTAAATGTATTTACTCTTAATTTGAGTAGGTAAATGATATAGTTTGACAATGGAATGAATATTTTTACTCTTAAAATAAGATATTTAGATAAATTTCACATGAAATAAGACAATGCAATTGTGTTTTCTTATTTTAAATGTAAATTGTCTTGTTTTATTGGCAAAATGTCTATTTTACCTTCTCAATTCAAGAACAAATGCACTTATTTTAAGAAAAAATGACTAATCTAGATATAGATTTTTTATAGTGTAGCTGCTATATAAAGCAAATTGGAAGGAATTTGTTTTGTCGGCTTCATCTGTTTAGCATATCCCATACCCCCTTTTAAAAAATGTCCCATTCATCCCAAACGTCCTAAAGCCGAACAGACAAGTCTTTTCTTCTGATCCTCTTATTTCAATCTTCTCTTAAATAAAAACAAAATTCTTGCAAATGGACTAATACTGCTTTTTAAAAATTTGTTCCGTTCTCAGTTGTTTCATTTCTAGTTTATCTAATGGAATAAGTGTTAATTTTCAGGTGTTAACAGAAATGACAAAATAGGACTCTACTGTAACTTTCAGAACTATATTTTTGGAGGGCATGCTACAATTTCTTAGAATTACATCTCTAAATATTCATGAAACTTTCAAAATAGTTGCATTCCCAACTTTACATGTTGGTGTTATTTCTTTACAGGAATCAGTCATCTTACTAGAGAGCCAAAATGTCTTTGCCTCTTCCTCCAAACTCTTCCTTTGATTCCTCACAGTCCCGCTGTGCCAACAACACTGATGGATCCTTAATCGGCACTGCCTTGGTTGCCACCAGGGTTTTGCTCCTTTTTCCAGTTTCAGTCTTCATTCTCTGCCACGGCCTCCAACAGAAATGTCAGCAGCGCTTATTTAAAGCAAGAAGCCACTTTGAGGTTTTTACCTATCACCAATGCATCCTGGAGCTGATCTGGATTCTGGGGACAGCTTTAATGATTTTAGGGTCAGCAGTGGGTTTTCCAGCTATAACCATAGCAGGTGTTTACCTCACAGGCTCCATTTTCCCAGGAGAGATCTTGTTTCATGTCCTCACCTGTTTGGATCGTTACCTGGCTGCTGTTCATCCAATCACCTACCAAGGTCTACGAAACGCCCGGGGTGTGGCAAGCAGAAATATTGTCATTCTTACTGTTTGGCTGGTGTCAGGTTTGTTTAGCTGTGCAGCAAACATTCTCGATTCTAATCTCTTTATATACATATTTTTTTCCTTTTTGGCCTCCTCATTGGTGCTTGTTTTTTTGTGCAGCTTTTCTGTTCTCTGTTCTCTTATTGATGGAGGGCCAGGGGAAAGCTTGGGGAACAAGAAACATGTGAACCAAACAAGGAAAAGAGCGTTTGTTACTGTTGCAGCCATCATGATAGTGCTCTGTTTGTCCTTCTTTGGGTATCTGGTGACCATCATTATAAAAACTTCTCAGCCCCTGATGACAAGTGTATTTTGTGTTCTGGAGATTTCTGTGCTTTGGTTAACTCTACCCAGCAGTTTAATTCTGCCTTTGCTTTACCTACTCAAAATAGTAAAACAGCCACGTGGACACCATAATAGTGAATAAGGACAGTGAATGGAAACTAATATAAACATAGGTGTTACCCTGCTTAAATCTGTCTGTTTAATAGGTAAGGCACTTAAATTCAGATTTAATGAATTTATGCTAAGAGATCTTTGGAAATTTTAAACTTGTATTATCCTTAATTAAATTTGAATAGTTAATTTGAAGCTAGGAAAGGTATAGTGGCAGACTTTGAAAACCATCTAATGAGTGATACAAGATACTCAATACTGCATGAAAAATAATGGCATTGTCATGATAAAGCAAGTTTATAATGACCAATTGTATGGAGAACCTAATAAATTGTTACACATACTGACCAGCAGCAGTAGATGATGTTGGGAAGCAACATCAACAATTATTCTGATTCTGAAATAAATGAGGATTAAGATTACATTTATTTGCCCCCCAGCCGGGAGCACCACACCAGTAGGGCAAAATTCAGTTTCGGTATATCACATTCAAGAAAAAGACAAAACACAGACACTGTACATAGGGAGATGTGGTGTCCGAGGTTTTGCTGCTGTCAAAGGAGCTGCCCTTACAATTAGAAAAAAAAGAGAAAAGAATAACTATGGGTGACAGGAGAAATAAATAAATAAAAAAAGATGGTTGATAATAAAATGCATGCATAAAGGGCGAATGTTATGAGGGGAAGTTAATGTGGTTTTCAATGTAGTTTAGTGCTTGACTTCATTAATGATGTGGTGGTGGTAGATGTCCAACAATGGCTTTATTAATTATCCTTGGTCCTTTTTTGTCATTAAAAGTGAGAGCAACAAATTTAACTCCTCTGGGCCAGAAAGTGGCACACTGCCACTCGTGCACCCTTGTTCCATACAGTTTGCCAGCCTGCTGCCATGTTCGCTAATGTTAACCTTTGGTTAGCCTAAGTAGACCTATTCAAAATAAAAACGGCAATCTCTGCTTGGCTTGTGAAACCCCTTTTTTCTGTAAGTCTGCACCAATGTTCAAAAGCTTGGTCGATGTGCACTTTAGTCTTGCCTCATTTATGTTGGGCTTTGTTTTGGCCTGAGCAAGAGAAAACTATTTCTCTTATCTATAAGAGAGCTACAATAAACTGGCAATATCCTAGCTCTGTCTGACGTCATTTCAACCTATTATTCCTACCGGTGCAGAATCCTTTGCACTCATCAACACTTATAAACATTTAAAAAACAATTATTATTGTAGCTATGACCTTAACGTAGGGTTGAAGTGTGTGAAAATGGTGTAATATAACTGCTTAGACATATGGTATGATCTAAACATGCTGTTTGGAAATAAATTATTATTCAAGCCTTATGTGTTTTTTTTTTCCGAGGTAATGCGTAATCTGTAAACTCATAATGGTTACATGGTGAAATAATTTTTTTGTGGAGGGGGGGCTAAGCCTTATTTGGTATTTCACAAGTTTAAAGCATATAATGGGCAGTAAGAGTGAAGTTTAACCTTTCCTATTAACAATCTTATGCTCTTTCATCTCAACCCTCATCATTACTGTGTGATCTAGATCTGGGGATGAACAGTCAAGATTATTTTTTTTGTGAAGTCAGTTTCACCAGTTATGTGTGGAATTAAATGCTTTTTTCCTGGTTATTGAATTGATCTTAAACTACAGCTTGCCACCTACTTTATTTAAATCAAATATAAACATAATCTGTGGAATATAGGTGTATTTACCCCAATGTTACACAATGTGAAGTTATTTCAACCACCATACAGAAGTGAATAGTTTTAATCTGTATACAACTTAGGATGCCAAAGGTCAGTTTTGAGCCATTTGTTTTCTTCTTTTTTATTTTTTTTTTAAACTTTTTATTTTCAATAACATATTTATATCAACACATACATATATCCACCCTTGTCACATCTCGCAATTCAAATCTTAATGTCTGATTTTTATAGATCATTTTGGACCTTTCACCTACATCAGACATACAGGCCGTCAGGCTATTGATGGAAAAAATGACAAAAGGAACCCCCAAAAACGACGAATAAAGATACATTTCCTTCAGATAGACATTAGCCCCATTAAAAGAAACCCATATTCATTAACAACATCCATGGATTTATAAGTCACAATGATTACAGTGAGTTTTCTTCTTTTTTGTTGTTATAGAAATAGGCAGGATAAACAGGAATAAAATTTTACATGTACGAGGAACAGCAACATCCATTTGACTTAATTGGATGTTAGAGAGCTAAGGTTAAGTCACTTTTAGGTAGGTACAGAGGAGATTGCAAATAGATTGGATGGAGGTTGCTGACAATGAGGCTGTCAGACAGTAAAAAGATGTCAAATAAGATTGATAGGCATGGAAAGAAAAAATAAAGATTCTGAAAGCACAGAATCAAACAAGTGCTAGGACAAGATGGATGACAATTGCATGTGGAGAGCAACCAAGAAAAAAAGGAAGAAATACTGTTATTTCAATTTGGTTCTTTATTCAAGTGGGAGAGTTAGAGTAATGCAAGAAAAGGAAAATCATTTGAAGTATGAACTGAATTTATTCATGCTACGTATAGCAACATCCTTGATAATGAGCATATAAAGCAAAGAAAGGGTTTACTTCTGTAGGATCTCACAAATATACTCACAATGAAGAATACCTTAAAACAGAACTCTCGTGAAGAGAGCTCCTAGAGGTCAGTGACCGTAACAATATTCAATCAATACTAATATACTACATGTATGGGAATGTAGTATAATTTACGTTCTATAGTTAAACCTTTAGTAGGACATCCCCAAAAACAGCAGCAGAAGGCAGAGGAAGTATCAGCTACCATTGTGGTCCAGGGAGGGGTTAGAGACATTTCTTGTGTCCTGTTTTGCTCGGACAGGCAATGGGTTGACCCGGTGGGTTTTAAGGGGTTTATCTCTATTATTACTGACTCTGCTTACTAGTCTCTAAGGTTTATTTGATCAAAGTTTTAATCTTCTTAGTCAAAACTGTTTTCAGCAACTGTTTGATAAGATCCTATTATTAGGAGATTCTTCCAAATTCAGATATATTTGTTAAAACTTTAGATATTTTCAACATACATTTTCTTTAGTCCTACTCCAACCTCGCTGTAGTTGTACTAAACAAGACTGCTCATTACTGCATGGCAATACTAAATGTATCATGTTGGCCAACAAGGGTTGGAATATTAGTGCTCAAGGTGGAAAAATAAGTAGTTGCCCATCTAATTTGGGGTTTAGACATGATAACTGTAACAAGTTCACTAATCCTATCGCGATTCGGGCAAATTTCATATTTCACGCGAGGACAAGTTATTGGTTCGTATCTAAAATATGGTGGTATACCGGTAGCTCTCATTTTGTTCTCTTCAAAGAAAAAGCAACAAACTGCCACGCTGGTATATATGGGAGAATAATATTTTCCTTCAAGATTATCAATTAGGTAACTTTGGTATTTCTCTAGAAGACGGTTGACGTCTTTGTTGTAAATATCGGCTGCTCTAACTGCTACGGTTCCATCTGACCCCTCTAACCGAGCCAGATGGATCAACATCTGGGTGTGAAAGGCAGCTCCGTTCACCCATTGGTTAAGAAGCCGAGTGCTCATCTGGTTATCCGTCAGCATGGAGTTCTGAAAGAAGCACATTTTAAACCACATTAAGAACTTACTCTGACTTCTGTTCAATTTAGTATCTGCATTCATGTTAAGCCTAACTTTAACCAAAACGTCACTTTAACCCAAGGCATATGAATCCAGCATTGCTATTGTAATGCAATAGCAGTGCAGAAGCTGCATTCAAGCATCAGAAGTTAGCATCTGATGCTAATAATTATTTCAATGTGTGTCAATGCATTTTTTTTAGGTTCCATTTTGGGACCTTATAATTCAGACAGAAACATGTACATAATTCCTGGGCATGATATTTATTAGCATTGCCTTGAATGAACATCATTATGTGTCTCTACCAACAACTTTGTGTTTTCATAGAGGTGCCCTGCAGTGTTAGGAGGATAGAAAAATAAGGTAAAATACTTGACTATTATTGACATATCACTTTAGAGATGCACCTTCTGTCCGGAAGCTTTGTTAGAAACTCTAATCCTCCTCCAAGCAGTTGAGCAAAAAAAGGTGAGCCGCATACACTGATCTCTTATTCAAGCTTGATGTTATCTGCATGTTTTTCTCTCTGTCTAAACCTGAAGGCATTCAAGTCTATAAGATGACTTGCTCCATGAAGATCTATCAGAAATGGGGCTCAGTCGTAGATAAATGGCAATGCCAAAAAGGAAACAGTCAGGCAAGCTATATTCTAGTTAGTTTTCAGTGCCAGCTTATTCAGTAAAGCCCACCCATACTTAAGGGATAGAGACAGACACATTGTAAATGCTCAGCTGTAAGCAGGTCAAGTATCTCATAATTGTACAGTAAATCTAATCATGTTTAATTTTTTTTGTACGCAAAATATATAACACCAATTTCTATTGCCTGTAGAGAAATGTGATTTAATTATCGTCAGATCAATGTCCTAAAATTAAAAACGCTAAGAGAATGTTTTTCCTTTCAGCTGTTCCCTTATTCAGAGGTTAAAATAGTGAGTGAGTGAGTCTCTTATATTAGCTGTTTTTACACCAGATGCCCTCCCTGACACAGCCAGGATTCAGACCCAGCTACCAGAGATGGGGACTCGAGTTTGTGACTCGTACTCGAGTCACACTTAAGTCGC